TTTAGAGTAATCTTCTCTTAATTTTTTAGAGATAAAATGGTTGAACTCTATTTTCAATGTAAGAAAAGTGTTTATTAGTAAGGTTTCTAAAAATTTGAAGATAAAGATTTAAAATTATATTGTTTTAATAAATTTATATTTAAAAAGATTAAAATAATCTATTTAAAATTAAAATTGAATTTATTTTAATCTTTTTTTTGTGATATTTAAACGAAAATGACGTAATTTTAAAATATTTATTCTTTTAATTTTTTTAGAGATTTAACTAATAAATACTATATATATAATATGTATATCATTTTCAACATGGCAATTAGATATATTATAGGGCAAACATATACACTAAGAAGCTAGCGGGGATGACCTTATGTCTCTTAGCCTTACTTTAATTTAATGCATACGTCTTTTTAGGTTAGGTTTCACCTAGCTAGCACCCCCTAATATATTGCCGCATTCATTATCATTACTTTTTAGTGAAAATATAGTGATGTGGTGTGGCGACATTAAATTAAACATAAATAAGGTTCATGCTTCGGTTAAAGACTCCTCGAGATGCAAATTGATTTTCTACTCAAAAAGATTCATCAAGGTGCATGAAAAATTCACTCCAATTTTTTAAATACATATTTATAATATATGAGGCATGAGGACTGCTCTTGATTAATATTATACAGTTTTTTTTTTACTTTTTTAGTTATTTTTAGTATAAGAATCTATTCTTTTATACATATATCAAAAATATTAAAATTCGATATTAAAACCTTACATTTTTTTGTTTTCTTATTCATTTAAATATGTATTACAAATTTACTTAAACAATTCTCAAACTACAAATTTTGTTAAAAATTTTTATGTGAGAGTTAATCTCGAAGGATTATTGATGGCTAATTAATCAATGATTGATGTGGGTATACAAAGTGAAGAAAATTAGTTTTAATTATGGTAGTATAGTTTGACCCAATCGAGATTGTGAAATTAATTACTCATAATTAATCATGATGACCGATCACCAATACTTTTCAGAAAAAGCCCTGAGCCATTCTTGTAAGCAAGTAATATATTCAATCATTGACTAGAATGATCGCTAAACTCCAGCTGATCTGATTTTTCATAAAAGAAACAAGGAGCAGATAACCAAATCTAGATTTCCAATTCATGTTTATATCATCCTTCAAAAAAAAAGAAAAGAAAAAAAAAAAAAGAAAAGAAAAGAAAAAATATATATATATATAGAGGTTGCGATCAATCAGAACTATTTGACAATCCTGACAAGATCAAAACCATTTGTCATGTAACTTCATGTTAAGATACACGTGAAAATCACATGATAAATGACTCTTATCCGGACAAGATTACTCGGCAATCCTGGCTTTTCATTTTCTATTATATATATATATATATATATATTCTTTCTTTAAGTGCCTTTTGCTAACAATATTTAATCAGACATATAATTAGGTCAAACTGTATTTGTTTTGTTATTATTAAGAAATAATATCAACGAGTCATCCTCTTATCCATGGTGATACACATACACATAATTTTGGTACAAAAAATTTAGTCATGTGGAATACTCTTTCAATTCAACCACTACATACCTACAAGATATTTACAGAAGAATTATGATTACAATTGTATTGTAGTAAGGAGAATTAGTCAGAGCACATCCAGGAGGTCATCCATTGGTACAGCTAGACCCATGGCATCATCCGTTCGTATATCTAAACCCATGGTATCAATGTCTTGTAACAACCCATCTTCATCAAAGTTAAACAAAGCAAGATCTTGGTTCCCACCCAGTTCTTCTGCTACATCTAATTCATTCAACTTGGAAAAATCAATGGGTTCATCGGCTTCTTTAGGAGAAATCCGAGGAAAGTGACTTGTGGTTGTCGACCTCACTTCACCTGACATTTTGCTAATATCCGCCATTGACTGCTGACTTGATTGACGCGCAGTTGGATGACCAGGTTGCATTTCATTTCCTGAAGTTGAAAGATTGCTCTTCTTTTGCTTAGGCTTCATTTTTGACTTCTCTCCACTCTTGAAGTTGTCCAATGATGCATGAGCTCCGGATACAGAGCTATTTCTCAAGCTATCTCTGTTTAGATCCGTGTCTCTCTCACTTCTGTTCCCCCTTACTCCAACATTAACATGGCCATCGAGAGATGATGTTATCCTAGAAGAAGCACTGCCCACAACATCATCTATCAGTACTTCCCTCTTTCTCTTCAACATAAATCCATGCATAGAAACACCTTGTTCTGATGAGTGGACGGATGGAAGAGCATCTGAAGAATCATATCTCTCAAAAGTACTGGAAACAGCACCTGAGCAAATGAACATGAATAAGCGATATATGTTGAAAGATCACAACATCAGAAACAATATAATCCATTTTAGGGAATCCTTACCCCCAGTCCTGGGTAGTGTCCTCAAAGCCAAAAGACTTTGAAAACAATTAATCTCATCATATTACAAAGACGTTACTTATCATCACAAAAAGTGAATATAAAAATCTGTATTACCATACCTGATACCCTGGCTTCTGTCTGTTGGTTAGAAGTTTCATTTAATGTATTACTAGCAGTTCCAGAGCCAACACAGTCAACAGATTTTGTGTCATTGCTGCAAGGAGGTGCAGCCAACATAACATCTTGCAGTACAGCATCACTAAAGCAACTAATGCCTTCCTCTTCAAATTTCTGGCATCTAGCAAGCGTACGCTTAATAAAAGCCAATGCAACTTGTTTTGGAACCTTACGAACTTTTGATGAATTACTACCACGACAGGCCTGCATGAATTAAGTTTTATAAGCTATAAATCGACTATAGTTTTAATAAATAAATACTTCACTTGAAATCAGTCAGATATGAAGCAATAGACTATTCAGCACCAAAACTCTGAGCTCTCATTTCTTTTTGTTAGAATGGAGATGCAGAGATGCAATTATTGCTCCTAGTTGTATTAGAAGCTTGTTTTCTGTTTGCCTTTGAAAGATTAGGCTTCAGTTTGGTTCAAAACAAAATTTGCAAAAGCTCAAAAAGACTACCATTTATTCATAGTTCATAATCATAATCACGCTCAAACTACTGCAATTTGTAGGCTTGTCCACCAAGGTTTTTAGAGTGCTACCTTCTGCAAGGACACGTTTAGATGCAGAAACTCTTCCCTCATTTTTCTAGTAAATCACTTAGAGCATGTTTGGGTTAACTTGTAAAAGCTTCAGCTTTTTGACACTATTCATGTTTCATATATTTAAATTTCCCTTTTAAAAACTTACAATTTTTAACTTTTTTTTAACCTTAAAAAGACCTTAAACAATAAGTTTTGAAAAGCTTCAAATTTAAACTTTTTTATAAACTTCCTTTTTACTCACATCTTAGTCACTTTTTTCTATTTCTAAAAGCAACTTTTAAATTTTCCCATCAATAAAAATTTAAACTTATCACTCATAAATAGTACAAAAAAAGTAAAAACTCTTACAAGCTAACCCAAACATGCTCTTAATTAGATTAGAGAACAGTTCTATATGGTGATGTTTAATTTTCAATAATTCAAGATCCAGTAGCAGCAATAACTAACTCTTGCACATCTTAAGGTAATAATACTCCCAAGGAAATATGGAAATTACCACACGTTTTCTGTAAGCCATCTGAATTAATTGGTCCATTGCAACATGCTCAACATTCCTGCAGATTAAACCAAATCATTCTATTCCGAACAGACAGAAGTTAACCAAAAAGACTTAAACATCATTAGTTAATCCAACCTCCTTTCCACATCTCTCCCATTCTGAATGGCTTTGTCAATTTTCCCCAACTTTCTTTTTTTCCTCCGAACCTGCAAAGTAAAGCAAATAAATATATTAAATACATGACAAAACATCAGAACAAGGCCATAAAAATGAATTTAAAAACAGCAGAAAATAAATAAAGTTATTCAATTATTGATATCAAGATAAAGAGACTTTTCAAGAAAGAAATTCAAAGCAGAAAATGGTCAAAAAGTTCCATATTTTACAAATGGGGTGAACAAATACATACAAACATGCCATATATATACCATATGTACATACATTTTGTACATTTCATATATATGTATAACTAATATACATGGTCTTGCAAATGGAAGTACAAATTACAAATGTATATATGGTGTGTGCAAATGGAAATATGGACTCAAGTTCTGTTTAAACAATCTAAATCATAAAAGTTTGTGGAAACACTAAAACTAAAAGTAGGGAATATCAACCTGTTGGTAAAGCTGTTCATTAAGTTCCAGAACATTTTGGTTTATTCCTTCCTCCCCTTCTGCTAAATCAGGCTGCAAAAATGATACAAATATTAATTAACAACTTAGAAAACATTTCCGAGACCAGAAAAACAGAAACACAAGACTATTACCATAAAACAATTATTCAAAAGAATAACAAGAATTATTCTTCTAGAATGAAACTAATCAGCATGCAAAATGAAAAACGTACCAAAGTCTCTGGATACAGACCAATGCTGTGTAACTCCAGCAAAAGCTTGTCATCCATACACATAAACTGATATTGGCGATCAGCACCTAACACATTTATTTCCCTAGATTGTAGATGAGCTGAATCATGTGAACATATTTCAGTGGTAAGCCCCACATCTGAATGTGAAAAACCATCATCTCCCAGCCACCGTTCGCTACTATGCAATGAGTTAGATGTGCTAGGATTCCTGAACGTGTTAGAGGCAACACTAATATTGCAAGATAGTCTGTCAAGCAAAGAACTCCTCTGAGACTGAAAATCTGCATTTGACTCAACTTCTGATTCCATTTTGTCCCTATCTTTGGGTTCAATGTCAAGATGGTTACATGAACCACAATGTGAATCATCACTTGAATAGTGTAATGACATGTTCTTCCCCTCAAAATGATTATAAAACTCCTCATTTTCATCTTCTTCAATCAAAGCAGAAAGAACTCTTTGATATAATGGAGTAATCTTGTCTGACTTCTTAATGTCACCCCTTCCAATGGAAGCATTAGTTTTAGCTGATACTTCACCATTACAATTAGGAGTTTCCTTCTGTGATACAGCACCCTAAGGGAATAAAATAAAAGGAGTTCAAAATGTTTCAATGTATTTAGCAATTTTGACTGTTTGACCATGTCCCTTTTACTTTGTTTTTTTTTTGGTTTCCCGCCCGGTATCCGGGGCTTCGCCCGACTAATCCGGACCCGACCTGCGTCGCGCACCTAGAAATGGTGGGTGAGTCTCCCAGCGGGGGCTGCTGCGTACACAAGGTCTCGAACTCGAGACCTTACTTAAGCTGGAACAAGCTGCTTACCACTTGATCCAACCCCTCGTTGATTCCCTTTTACTTTGTTAGTTGTTCTAAGATTATCATCCAAGTTCTTGGCAGTTCATAATGGAGCCAAAGAGCCTTTTTTTAAAGATGAAATAATGGAGCTTACCAAAACATTATATTCAGGCCTAAACATCTTGGACAAACTCTCATCAAGCTCCTCCCCTAAACTCAGCTGATGTAACATCACCCAGAAAAGAAAATTAAGTATCAATCCAAGAGTATGGATACAATAAAATGCCAGCTTATGCCAGATATGGTACCTGATGCTTCAGGTAGGATGCGTCCTCTGAATTGATAGGGGCAAAAATCAATTCCATTTTCTTCCAGAATGAGCCAGAACAAGCAAGGCCTACAGAAACAATTTTATTAACTAAGGGAAAATAAGAGCTGGATTTACAGAGGAAAAAGAGGCCCTTTTCTGAGGAACCCAGGGGAGCAGGCAGATGTTTGAGAAAGGATGCATACTGCTAGCATTATGAGCAGAACTGGCAGCTGTAAATAATTCCTCATGATCATCCTCTGATTCACCTGAAAATAGTATGCCATTTGCATCTTAGATTATAATTTAATTAGACACTTACATCAAGCATATAACATAATTAGACACATTAGGAAGAACTTCTAGTATTTTCCACCAATTGTAAAATTGAAGTTATCCACTGGGACTAAAAAAATGAAAAATTATACAATTGTTGTGCATGCCTGTGCATGCCATTCCATACTAAAATGTATGATTTCCACCAAAAAATAACAGATGTAACATATGCAACGCATATATGTAGTTGCTAGATTTTAACACCAATAACAAAAAATAGCTCAAGTGATGATGTCCAATAGGGAAAGGCATCATAGTTATATTCATTTTGCAATTAAAGAATTTTAGTGTTTATTCAAATGAAAAATGATAAAAATATCATTTTTACAAAAATAAAGGAATAAAAACATCACAAGCCTTCTAGGATTATCACACTCTATTTCAAAAGCTCAGTTGAATGGTAGCTGAACTACAACAGGTTTGACAAATAACTGGGAAACCTCCCAAGACCATCACAGTCACTACTCACTACACTTAATGAATACCTGTGATATACGAAGAAACACCATTTAGCACTGACCCAGCACGGGTTGAGGCCTTGCGATCTTTCATCTTTTTAGCAGGTGGACGGCCCGATTTACTGGAAGAGAAAAAAAAAAAAAAAGAAAAAAGAAGAAGAAGAAGAAGAATAGAAATGTAGATTATAAAATATAAACAAGACACTATTTTTCAAGAGCCTTTAATGGGGGAGGGGGAAAGGAAACATGTGTAAGTACCTCTTATTTTTATCAGAAGAAGATCTTGGACTCTGAATTGGCTTGGTTGCTGGTAGATTTTCAAATTTCTCCCTCATTGGATAAGCCAGTCTTGTCAAGGGTGTACTGCTTCCAGTCTTTCCTTGTCTCCAGGCCCCATCCCCAATTTCATTAGTAGATAACTTATTCTTCCTTGTAGGCAAAACCCCAGCCATAGATACAGCTAGCCCACCATTTTCTATCGTTTTCTCTTTTAATTTGTTATCTCCAGCTCCTGATTCTTCACTTTCAGATAACCCAAATGGAGGTGAAACATTCTCAAGTTCCCTCTTAACTTCCATGATAACATTATCTACACTGCTTGCAAGCATCGATTCAAAAGATCTTGCACTAAAATCAGGTGTTGCACAACCTTGAGGTGAAATTTGAGGTTCAGCATAGTTTGAGACAGGTGACATGACATTTGCTCTCTTTGTGCGTGAGTTTTTATTTGGTCTCTGACCAACCCACTGGGCCATGGGATGGGAAGATGAACCCATAGATATTGCATGTTTTTTATTATTCCCAACACCTAATGCTGGAATTTTACTCACACTTGCAGGCTGTTCCCAACTGGGAAAAGCTCCAGACGAGGGGTGAATTTTAGAAGATGAGTCTAAAACCATGATGGAACCAGTTCTTGGAGCCCTAGAAACTTTTGCTTTTAACATTCTCCTAGAAGAGCTTGCTAGGTTATCATCATGGAGACTTGCCCTGAAAATTGGAATACAGCTGAGGACTAGAAAAATGCAATTCATTAATGCAATCAATAAATCAAACTGCAAAATTCTAGAGCCAAACATGATGATGGATCATACTTATTGCCTCCCTTTGCTACAACCCTTTGCTCCAAATTAGCTGTACGATCCCTCGGAAGAGAGGTGCCATCCAACTCATTCCTGTGCACCATACCAGAATCTAAACCAGCAGGCTCAAAAGAACCATCCAGCTTGTTGACTCCACTAACTCCAGGAGAGGACTTTGATCTGTAATAGAAGGGGCCCAACAACATCAGAAAACCCCTTACAGTGAAATTGCAAAACCAAAATTACAAAACCAGCATTAGCATTAGAACTTGGAGCACAACTCATATATACACATAAAATCACCTGAAGCCCAACGAATCACAAGATCGCAACTTTGATTCAGCATTTTTCTTTTGTTGCATGGCTCGTTTCATATCTCGATCAACATTTGCTACTCTATTGCCTACATTTCCAACAGAGCGTTTCTTTTTCATCCTCGAATCCCATCCTTCACCTCCAGCAGGCAATTTTCGAATTTTTTCTTCAGTTGCATTAAAAGATGAAAGTGTATCACCATCCCTTTCTGTCCCCATCTGCTGAATTGCATTTACAATGGCCCTACTGTCTCCCTGGTTGCATTAAGCATTAAAAGAAATATCAAGGAATAAATAAACTTGTCCTTACCAAAAAAACAGAAAACAAGAAAAAAGAGAGCCTAAAATCAAGCAAAAAAGCATAAAAATACAAAACAAAGAGAAGCTAGAAAACTAGGCACTCGTAACTAATAGCAGACTCTCCAATGCTGAAAGGAAAAATAATCACATAACTCTTAAATTTCCGGTTCACCAATTTGGGGAAAGCTGGTGTAGAAATCAGCATTTGCTTGCTTTGCATTCAAATAATATGTTAATTATTATTTAAGACAGAAAATGATCCGCTTTTTCCAAGGATATAAAAAGAGAATGAGAGTACCATTTTTTTTGCTAAGCACACAGTAAGGAATGCCATTCATAGAAAAATAAATTCAACCCATACAAAGACCACAGATCATATCTCAACATTAACAACTAAATACAAACCCGGACATCTGCTGCTGCAACTGAAGTGCGTACACGCTTATGCAGCCCAACATTTTTAGCCCTGACCTCCAATCTTTGAGCAAAAACGCCATTAGGATTTCTCTGAAGCTGACTTCCAATCTTTGCTAAGTTGGCTCCTCCGCCCCTCTCGCTGGGAGACATATCAGTTCTTTGTCGCTTCTTTGAGCTTAAGGCTTCCCTATACTCTTCCAATTTTTCTATGGAAGACTTAAACTTTCTGCCTCTATCCCTATAAAAAGACATCACACATTCACACCTTCAAAATAATATAAGCAGCGCTTATGTTTCATGAACACGAAATCATTCTCACAATCGAGGAACAAAAGTATACCAAAATAAATAAATAAATAAATAAATAACCAAACCTGGCCTTCCTGCAGGCATCTTCCAAACTTTCTTTGAGGTGCTTAATCTCCTCCGTTACAATCGGCCGCGAAGATTTAGGTTCTTGTGTACTTCCATGCAAAGCACCAAGAAGCCTCCTTAATTCTCCAGAACGAGAATATTTCTGAAACGTAATGGGATCCAGAGGCCAAAGTTGAGGCAAGGGAGGCACATCTGAGGACGACGACGGCAATGCTCCATTCCCCCGGCTTAAATTATTCCCAGAACCGAGCATTTCGCTCTTTATCTCCTCTCCCAAACTGCCGAACCTGTTGACATGAATCCAACACCATTACCTTCCATCTCTTTCTAAAAAATAACAATAGATGCAGAAAAACCCACACACAAAAACGAGTTAGCTGCCAATTCAGAAACTTCCGGACATTTTACCTTGCCTACACTGATCCGGCAACCAAGCGGACGGAATTAAGGAAGGAAGGGAAATTGAAGACGGAATAAACAAAAAGAAAAAAAAAAAGAAAAAAGAAAAAAAGAAGAGGAAGATTAAAGAACAAAAAAGGGAAAGCGAAACCCTAGGTGCGATACGTGTGAGGGGAGGATTGGATAAGGAAGGATAGGTGAAGTAGAGATGAAATTAAATTGAAATTGGGGTAAAGAGAGATGGGTTTAAAGAGGGTAGAGATGAAAGTACCTGAATCGATTCAAGCGCAGATCAAATCAGCAGCTTTCGGAGATCGGAGGTTGAGGAACAATAGGCGTAAAAAGCGGGAGATTAATAAGCTTGTATATATATATATATATATATATTAAAAAATAACAGTACATACGAATTTGAACTGGTATTACATCACGTGAGGAAATACTACCTGACATACTTGTCATGTCATATTGCCGTGTTTTTCTTTTTTTTTTTTCAACAAATTTGCAGAAATGAGATTCGAACTATTATCCTCAAAAAAGAAAATACACTTATACATTTATACATTATCCAACGCTATTCGGCCGAAGGCCCAAGCGTTATTTACCGTATTTTTCATTTTTTCATTTTTTGGTAAATGTCGTGTTTCTATTTTCAAATAAATATTCGGATAAACTGTAAAAGTATGAATTTCTTTTATTCAATTTTAATTGTATTAATTTTGATTTTTTAATTTTTTATACGTTATACTTTTAAATAAAAATTTAATAAGTAAATAGATAATAATTAAAATTGTTTCCCTTTTTTTATACTTTTTAAAATTTTTTTAAATTAAGAATTTGATAACAATATTTATATATAAAAATACCTTTAAAAAAATAGAAGACAAATATTTTTTTTTTATAATTGGATGATTAATTAAAGTGAATAAATAATTATAGAGTTAAAGTAAAACAAATTGTTTATTAGAAAAAAGATAATTAATTTAAAACAAATTCAAAATTCAAAAGTGACAATTATTTTAAAAGAGATAGAGTATTTAAGAGTCTACTATTTTAGAGTTTGATAACAATATTTATATTTATATATAAAAATACCTTTAAAAAAATAGAAGACAAATATTTTTTTTATAATTGGATGATTAATTAAAGTGAATAAATAATTATAGAGTTAAAGTAAAAAAAATTGTTTATTAAAAAAATGATAATTAATTTGAAACAAATTCAAAATTTAAAATTGACAATTATTTTAAAATAGATAGAGTATTTAAGAATCTACTATTTTACAGTTCAAACTATATAATAATTTTTTTGTATATTTGATTCTTGTTGGATAGTTTTACATTTGATAAAAAAAAATTCATTTATCATTTTTATATTATATTAAATTTTCATATAAAATTAATATTTAAAAA